CTTTTATTCTTAAACAACTTTTATTAACTGTTTTCTTCCTAGATGTTCTAAAAAAAAAAGCAAACTAAACAATTAGCAAACCAGTTTATTAATATTTTTATATAATTTTTTAAAAACATATACATTTAATTATATAAATATATTTATATTTTTATTAAAAAAATTATTATATTTATATATAAATAAATTTTATATTTTTATTAAAAAATTATTATATTTATACGTTAAAATATGTAGTTATAATATTAAAATAAACTTTATCAATTATTTTCTTTTCATGTTTTTTCTTATAAAAACTTTTTTTCAGCCTTACAGTAAGAAATTGAATTTGGATATTACTATTCATCCACACACCAAAATTCAATTTATTTTTTCAGTTTTTTCTTTTTTAAATCTTCATAGAGAATAATGTCTCAATACTCCACGAGTGTGAGGTTAATTGAATAAGAAGTATATTTTACAAATATATAAAAGATTCTCCTTTTCTTTATATTTATGACAAACAAATAATAGTGATTTTACATTATCATTTATAAAAAATAGAAATAATATTTTTAATTAAACATATAAAAAAGAACAGTTATTTCAGTAATTGCCATCTAATGTTAAGTTATCGTTTAAGTAAGTTATCTTAAATTTTTGCGTCACGGTTATTCAAATAAGTTTTGTTTAAATGGCTCTATTTAAGCACAATTTTATTGTTTATCATCTTTATATAAAAAATTGTTACACCATTTATAATTTAATTCCAATAAAAACGTCTTAAATAAAATATGATTTATTATTATTATTATTTATACCAACAAGCTTCTTGGTTCGTCCGTACCTAAATAAAACGTTGGAAAAGACGGAGAAACCTCTTTTCCTAATAATCATCGTTAAAAGTTTTAGAAATTAACTGAAGACAGTTCAATGACAATATCGAAATTTTGAAATATATACAAATAATTATTAATTTTAATTTAACCTAATTATAATTAGATTAAGATATTAAACAATAAATAAATATTCAATATTTTTTAATTAGATAAATAATTTATTTATTTTAATAATTATTATTATTATTTTAAATAATTAATTGATATTTTTTAAATTTTAATATTAATTGTTAAAAAGTTATAATATCATATTTTAATTAAATTTTAATATAATATTTTTAATAAATAAAAAGATAAAAATAAACAGAGAGAAAAAGAATAAAAAAGTACAAATTTAACAAATATTTTATTTACAAATAAATTTACATTTATTTTTAATTTAATTGGTCCTGTTGCAGGAAATGGTACACGTCTTCCTAAATGTAGCATCAATGTATAGCGTTTTGGCTATCATGACTTAGGTGATGTCGTGTCTCACTCAACTTTGGTTGTTGTGTAAACATTAAACACATTTCTTTTCAAAAATATCTATGAATTTAGTTCCGATTCGGCCATTTGCGCTTTAATCCGCTTAAGAGGTATTGGATATTTTAATTTAAGTTTTAAATTTTAATATATAAATATTTTTAAAAAAATTATATACTTAATTTTTTTAGAATTGATAAGTTAAACAGAATAAATTATCGAATTAAAATTATTAATCTGATTAATAGATCGAATTGTCAAATCCAATCTGACTTTTTTATTTTTATGAATTTGTATGAAATCAAATTCCACTAATTCTAGCAACAATTTATTTATTTAATTTATATCAAATATTTATTAAAAATATCAATATATAAATATATAAAATAAATAAATAAGAAATCTTTATATATAATCTCTGTAAATTTTTATATCTATGAATAATTTAAAAAAATAATACCCAAATGAATAAATTTTAAAGAACTATAACTTGAACCTAAAATAAAGTCATATTTTACAACATAATTTTAATTAAAAAAATTAACTGAAAGTGTCTTATCATTGAGAATTCAACATGTTTTTAAGTGAAATCTTGTTTTAAAAATATTTTTAAAATATGTTTTAAAATGTGATTTTTTATATTGAGTAATTTTCTAAAATTTATTTATACTATTATATAATTATATAAAAACTTTATCTACTGATAGAATCTAGAAAACAATGAGAGTTAACGACAACACATGACATAACATTGTACCTCGTGCCACAGACGTGCAAGAAACCATCAATCTTATAACAAAGTTTTTAATTAGAGACATTTAAGAATAAAATATTATTTAAAAATAAAATTAAATATTTTATTATAAATCTTATAATTAAGTTTTTTAAAATTTTATTAGAATTATTTATTTAAATAGTTTTCTAATTTTAAATAAATTCTTTATTTTTAAATAATTCAAAATATAAAACTCATCATAAAATATTTAATTTTGTTTTTAAATAATTCTTAATAATAACTCCTTTTTAAGATATTTTTATAATAATATATTTCTACAAAAATTACATAATTAAAATATCAATTTATTTATTTATTTGAATAATTTTGTCTAATTAACATTTAAATTTGTTATAATTTTTTTTATTTTTCTTTTGTATTTCATATATTTTTTTATCATCTCTCATTTTATCTTCTCAATATATGTTAATATAATTTTTTTAAAATTAATATTACAATTAAATTAACTATTTAAAATTATAATAAAGATAAATAATCTTATTTATTATGACAATAAATAAATAAATAATTTTAAATTATTTTATCATAAAAAATCAATTATTCATCTAATTAAAAAATATTAAATATTTATATATTTAATGTAATTTTTTTAATATTTTAATCTAATTATAATTAAATTAAGTTATAAAAATTAGTCATATCAAATAATTTTAAAAAATATTTATTAAAAAATATTTTAAAATAAAAATTTATTTTTTTCTTAATAATTATAACACAAAAATCTATATTCCTTCAAAATTATAATTAAATATAATATATTAAATTATAGTATTTTTATCTGATTTAAATATTTTTATTTTTTAGAAATAATAAAATATTTATTTTATTAAATTTTAATTTAACATTTTTAATTAAAAAATCATATGAACAAGAGTAGAAAATAGATAAAAAAAAGAAGAAGCAAACACGAATAAAAGAAAATAATAATAATCAAATGAAACAAAACAAGAACAAAGAAATATAAGAAGAAATATGGAAAATAAATTTACAAGAATTAAATTCAAATAATTTATTATTTTAAATATATTATTTAAAAAATTAATTCGGTAAACAACAAATTGGAACCATAATAATAATAATAATAATAATAATAATAATAATAATAATAATAATAATAATATCTTATATTTTGATATAAATGGTGGGTGTGAGATCATAAACAGCAATGATCCTTTTCAGTATTGGAAATTGGACTTTTATCACCATGCTTTCTTGAAAGAAAATAATAAATTGAGTGTTCATATCTTAATACCGTAAAAAGATAAAAATGCATATTTAACAATCTATTTTTAAATTTGTATATTATTATTTATTTATTTTATTTTATTGTTTTTCCATTAATAAAAGAAAATAATATTTTAAAATTATTTATCAGAAGTTCTGACCTAAATATTTGTAAACCTTGATTATAAAAAATCTTTTTCTTAATAAATTTAATCCCCGTTTGTTATTTCTTAGATTAAAACTTTTAATGTTAAATTTACGACGTATTCAATAGCTATAAAATATGAATTTCTCGTCTCATATTATTATTAATTTATAATTATTTTATTTTAATAATTTTTAAATAATATATTTTTATTTTTTAAGAAAATGATCAAATAAAAGAATTGTAATAAAAAATTAATTTAAATAACTAGTATTATATTTAAATATCTCATCAAATAATTCATAGAATTATTTTTCTAAATGATATATTTTTAAAAAAATATTTAAATAAAATATTTATAATTTTATTATTCATATATAATATATAATGACAAAAAATAAAGTATATTTAAATAAAAGATTTATAATTTTATTATTCATATATAATATATAATGAGAAAAAATAAAGTTTTTAAGATAATATAGATATTTTATTCTCGTTTCTTATTTATTTTTCTATTTTTCTTATTCTTTTTATTTTTCATTCTTTATCTTCATATTTATTTATTTATTTTTATCTTCCTCTGGCTTTTATTTTTCTGTCACTTATTTTATTTTTCTAATTAAAAATATTAAATTAAATTTAATAAAATAAGTTTTTTATTGTTTAAAAAAATAAAAATATATAAATTATAAAAAATATTATAATTTAATATATTATATTTTAAAAATATTATTTTATAAAATTGAGGTATTACACATTATTATATTATAATTATTGAGAAAATATCTTACAAGTAAAAAGAATATATAATTTTTTGAAACCAATATTGAAACTAAAAGATACAAGGAATTATTTTAAATTATGATGGTATTTTATTTATTATAATAATTTTATTTATGATAATGTAAATAATTAATTTTAAATTATTTTATCATAATAAATTAATTACTTATTTTATTTAAAATATTAAATATTTATAAGTTAAATTTATATTTTATTTAATAATTTAATCTAATTATAATTAGGTTGAAGTATAGAAATTAATGGTAATTTTAAAAAATATTTATCAAAAAACAATTTTAAAATAAATTTATTTTTTTAATAATTATAATATAATAACTTGTAATCCTTTAAATTTATAATATAATATTTTTTTAAAATATAATATATTAAATTATAATATTTTATTTTTTAAAAATAATAAAAATTCATTTTATTAAATTTAAATTTAATATTTTTAATGAAAAAAATAAAATAAGTGATAAAAAAATAAAGAGAAAAAAAATTAAATAAAAAAAGTTTATTTTTTGTTTTTAAATTTTATATATAAATATTAAAATAGTCTAATTCATACATAAACTTACATATAAATTTTAAGTAACTTTTTATTTTAAATATATTATTTTAGAAATTGAAATAAAATGAATCCTTGTTTTCCAGATAGGGAATCATTATATACTTTTCCCACCAATAATTTCAGGATAAGTAATCATGATGTTCTTTTCCCACCAATAATTTCATCCACGAACGATTGGATATTTCGGTCCGACGAGCCACCTTGAGCCACCGCCTCTCTCGCGGCTCGTTTCAGCTCCGATGCGTTCCTCTTGAACTCCTCAGCTGCAAAAACCAGTTCAATGGCCCGTTCCACTTCCTCCGTGGCCACAAACCCATCACTCCCTTGCGTGAGCCGAACCCCCAAACGAAACACATGGGAAATCAGTTTGGCGTTTGTGGGTTGGTCGGTCCACTGAGGCCAAGCAATCATGGGCGTGCCCGCCGTTATGGCTTCCAACATCGAGTTCCACCCACAGTGCGTTAGGAAACATGCAATAGCAGGGTGACTCAGCACCTTCGTTTGCGGGCACCACGGCACCACCATGCCTTGTTCTTTGCTCTCTTCAACAAACCCTTCTGGCAGAGGGACCGCTTCTTCTTCTTCTTTATTCTTAATCACCCAAAGAAAAGCTTTTTTACTGTTCTTCAAAGCCTTCGCTAAGCTCTCCAATTGCTTGGCGGTTAACACAATGATGCTCCCAAACGAGACGTATATAACCGAAGAAGGAGGTTGGTGGTTGAGCCACTCCATGCACGAATCCTGTGGCTTCCACATTTCGATTCCCACGTCTTCGTTTTCGTCTTGTCCAAGTAACGAGGGAGGGACTAGTGGACCCACCGTTGTTATAGGGCATAACTGAGCCATGGAATCCATTACCTCTTTCTCCAACTCGTCGAAGGAGTTTGCGAGTATCCACTTCAGTTTTTTCATGTGTTGGAACATCTGGGCCAACACCTTGGACATACTTCCAAAAGGGTTTGATGGGAGAACAAAAGAAGGAAGGTCTTGGGGTTGTAGTGATGGAAGACCGGGTAACTTGACACTTATGGAAGGTTCTTCGAGAGTGGGGAATTGGTTTAAGTTGTTGTAGAAACGGTAGTATATGGCGTAGAGAGCGCAGGGTTGGATCCAGAGACATGCACAAGGGATGTTGTAGTTGGCAGCTACATCTGCAACCCATGGGACAAAGGGGTTGTTGATGATGCAAGCTAGTCTTTTGGAAGTGTCAAGGAAGTGATCTTTTATGACGTTGGAAAGGTTAATGGGTCCGAATTTTCCTACAAGTTCCATGTATGAGTCGGGGGTGACCTTGTTTTTGCCGTTTCCAAAGCCGTCCGCGAAGAAAATGACTTGGATTCCATTGGTGGTGACAGAAGCAGGGATGGTGGCAGTGTCGGCGTCTGCGGCGGAGGATTTGAATACGCGGTGGTAAACTAATTCGGTGGTGGCTAGGGTGACGTGGAGGCCTCTGGTTAGTAGGGTTTTGCCTAGCCTGAGCAAAGGGTTGATGTGACCTTGGGCTGAAAAAGCCACTAGAAGAACGTGAAGCTCTTCTTGGGTTTTGCCCTCTGAAGCCATGGTTTGGATTCACGGTGACCTTATAGAAACAGTCCCAGAAGGAGGAGAAAGGGCTAGAGAGATAAGGTGGAAGTTATACGATGATTGGCTTTTATAACGCCCACTCTCCCCCCAGTGAGATAAATAAAGCGTGCTTAACTATGTCAGATAAAAAAAATTATAGCTATTTTGATAACTATTATCTTAAATAGTATTTATTAAAATAAATAAATTTGTTTAACATTAATTAATAAAATTGTTTTCTTTTTTGTTTTATTTACAAAATAATATTATAATATATAGTACTTGTTTAAATAAATTTTTATTTATGTACATTTAGTTTAATTTTAATTTTTAATTTTTATAAAAAATTTAAATCTCTTATTATATTAATTTAATATTTAATTATAATAATTAATTATTTTTAAATTATTAAGAAAAATATAAATAAAAAATTATGAAAACATGAGTGTTTATAAAATTACTTATTTCAACAAAATTTATGCAAACTTATATAAATTAATTTAAACTGACTTTCATAACATATCTCATTTTTATTATTATTAAATACAGGTGTCAAAATAAGTTAGTCTAACTTTAGATAAATAAGTTAAATTATAAAATTTGTGACCTAAATTCAATCAAATCTATTTACTTTACCCATTCAGATCATGATTTAAGTAGATTTGTATTATATTAATGTGTAAATTGAATGACAAACATGTTTTATAAAATAATAAATTATTTTTTAAATAAAATAAGAGTGGTTATTTTGTTATATATATATATATATAATTATTTTGATAAAGAATTCAGTAAATATCATAATAAGCTTTTATCAATTATAATGATTAAGATTAATTATTATTTTATATCAATAAATTATAAAAAAAATAATAAAAAATAAGTTTTTAATTTTTATTTTAGGATCGAATGAATTTATTATTTTATAACTATATATTAAATAATTATATCTTAAATAAAAAATAATTTTATTAATATAATTTAAATTTTAAAAATTTATTTAATTTTTAGTTTTATTTAAATGTTTTTAATTAGTTGTTTTAGTATCTATATAGGCATGACGGGTGAAGTTTTGCTTTTCTATTTTTCGTCCTTAATTTCTTTATCTGTTTCGGTTTTCCTCTTTAATATGAATAAGGGTTAAAAATTAAGATTTTATTCTCATTTTTATTGGTTTTTTCATCTCGGTCCGTCCATGTTATAATTTTATAATAATAATTATTTATTAAGTATATAGTTTAATTTATTATATTTATATTAAAATACGTAGGTAAAAAAATTTAATCATTTTTTACAAATATAATATATTTATAATAATAATATTATTATTATTATATTGTATTTAAATATTTGATCATATGCATAAATTAATTATTTTTTAAGTTATTATTTTAAAATATTGATAAATATGAAATATATAATTTATAAGAAAATATTTAATAAAAATTAATTTTTATTTAATTAGTATAAAGTAATAAAAAATTTAGTTATATTTTTTTTAATCCTTCAAAAATATTAATGATTTTATTAAAATTAAATTTAATATATGACAAGTAGGAATAATAAAATTAAAAAGATATGATATAATAAAACTTAATAAAAGCTAAAGTAGAAATGAAAGGTGTTTATAACTTCTCTCTGGACCTACCTCCAGATAAGATTGATCATATATGAGCTTCTCATGTACAAATGAGTCACTTAAAATAATATTAGGTACTTTTAAGATTGATATATAATATTTAAAGAAAGATAAAAAAGAGTAAACATTAAATTATTAAATTAAATGAAAAGATTAAAAAAAACTAAATTGATTGAAGAGATTAAGAAAAAGTAAATGAACAAAAAGTGAGAGAAAAATAATAATGTAATAAATTAATTGATTGAAGAGATTGAAAAAAAAAACTAAAAATTGAATAAGAGAAAAGTAAAGAACATGAAATATAGAAAAAATTATTTTATATATAATGTGAAAAAGAAAATATAAATACTTAAAAGAAAATTAGATTTAAATTTAAATATAAAGTTAGGGTAAGAGGAAGATGAGATCAAAGTGAAGATGACATTGCCCCTGTCCCAAATTTTTAAAACAAACAAAATTTCAACCCACCATCGCATCTAGTCAACTCAATTTTTTTGTTGAACTTTGAGCAAGGACGAATTGGTCTTCGTGGGTATGAGTGTAATTATCACCCGTATGTAGACATGTTGGTAATTTTTTATTTTTTAACTTTCAATCAAACAAATATTTGTCGTTAGTTTTTTTTTTCTAACACACTATAAAAATAATCAATTTTAATAGGGGTTAACTTTTTATCTTACCGACGGTTTAATCCCCTGATAAGTACGTTATTCGCGGTTCTCAAAACTGTTGTAGAAAAACAACATGGTTAAGTGATTCCCGACGGTTTCTAGGAATCCCGAGAAATGATACAACTTATCTACGATTTAGTAACCGCCATTAGTTCGTGGCAGTTTATAACCCCTGGTAATTAACCACGATTATTAATCGTGATTATTTAGTCATGGTTTGTAACCGTTGTTACTTAGCGGCGGTTTTGAACCCTTACTAATTAACCGCGGTTTGTAATCATTGTTAGTTTACAAAAGAACTTCCCCCATTTAGCAGCGGTTTGAAACCGCTGTTAATGCTAACATTTGAATCATTGTTGTTCTTATATTACCCATGCTTATATTTCCCCTATTAATAAAAGTATATCTTAATTCTTCATTGGATAAATTAATATTCTTGACATCAATATGTTCATAAAACAAATATAATTGCTAAACATTAATTCTTCATTGAATTAAAATCAAATTAATATTCTGGACATCACTTTATTCATAAACTAAATTCGAGTAATACAAAAATTAAACAATGTCTTTGTTTAAAGTTCAACATTTTAACTGGAAAATAACCAACAACAACAATATTTAAAAAGCCAACAATGTTACAAACACTCTTTAACTTTTTTCTTGATTTGTATCTTCATGAGGAACACTATCTTGATCAGATACCTACAATATAAAATAAAATAAGAGTAGTAATGCAATTATAAAAAAAATATTTGATGAATTTTCAATTATTACCGATGATGCTTGGAACATAGTAAATTATGAATGTAGTTGACCCTGGAAATTCTGCAGTAGAAATGTCATCATTGTCTTCATTTCATTGACTTGTGATGTCAATGAAGTAACCTGAAAAATGAACTTGAAATAACATCATTGACAACCTATACAATATTGAAAGTGTATCTGCAACTCTTGTAATACCCTAATTTTTTACATATAGTATTTTAATGTATAAAACAAACTCTATAATAAGATTTTTTTTCTTGTGCATAAATTTAGTTGAATTTTATTATATATACAACATTAATCTATTGATATTTATATGAAACCCGATCGATTGTGTGATTAATTAGTAGTAAGGAAGTTTAACCCAAGACCAATTAAAGAACGAAACCCAATGTTACAACCCACATTTAATACCAGTACTCTAACTTCTATTGACTCCAATATTAGTAACTTTCATTCAAGTTAACAATGTCTATCATGAAAAGAATTTGCATAAATGTCAACAACTATGTCAACCAGTATACCATTAACAATCAAGTGCTCATATACTACTTCACAAGATTGTTATTTCTTAAAGTTGCATTTTTGACATGGACATATTATCTTTCCACTAACACCACTATTAGTGAATGCAAAGTCCAAAAATGTATTCAATCCTCTCATATATTGAGTTGTATTTCGAGGCATATCTATCCATGATTTGTCCATTAAAAACAAGGTTTGTTCATGACAAGAGGATTGGAAGATTAGAATAAGTCACTATATTCATGTATGTTTACTACATAAGAAGAATTTGTTGAAAGTCATATAAAAACGATTAATGATTTTGTGTCCCTTCTTCGTAGAAACTTAAAGAAGATTTTAAAACCAAGTATAATCTGAAATGGTTATAAAACTAAGTAGCAAACCTACTTAATTATAAAATTGATGAGTGAAACAGTTTTACTTATGAAATTGAAGACTAAAATAATTAAACAATAAGTAACAACCCTTCTTTGTTACAAAAATTGTTTACACATAGAAATAAAAACTAAGTAACAAACCTACTTAGTTATAAAATTTAAGAGTGAAAGAATAAAACACTAAGTACCAAACTTACATAGTTATAAAATTAAATTGGTTTTAAACCAGTTAGGAAAACGATCACAAAAAAATTAATTTAAAAACTAAACAGTAATAATAAGTAAATAAATAAAGATAAGCACGTAAGTATAACATGGGTAAATAAGTAAATATTGTCCACTTTTTATTGTGTCATATATATATATATATATATATATATATATATTAATTTAGATCTAGTTCTCTAATTTTTTCAATTATCAAAATCAAGTTGCTAACTTTTAATTAATTATTAGAACTAAGTTGTTCAAACTACTTTTCTATTATTTGAAGACTCTCAAGTTTCAATTTTACTTCTTTTTTCTTTCAAAATTTTAGTATTAGAAAGTGATAAAAAATATTCGATAATTATCACAAATGATCATTGATCAATTAAAAAATGTAATTAGAGACTGATTTTCATTGTTAATGTTTGTAAAACCTTTAATGTGTTTATTTTCTTCACAAATACCATAAAATAATCATGTATATATGACAAATTCTGGTAGATGTTTTCTTAAACCTAATAAATAATAATATGAAACTTAGCATCTACACCTACTTGCCTAACTTAAAGGAGATAAATCCAGTGCATGCAATCAAAGAAGTTCCTCCTAATAATATGTAAATGTGTGGCAATGATTATGGAGGTATTGAAATTTTGTTTATACTTATGAGGTTTTCAGCATGTTCCAGATCTCTCTACATTCACTTGTAGAAAAGCCAAAACTTTAAAGTATAAGCTATCTTAATTATTTTAAAACTAACATCCAAAGAAATTAGTCTTTATGCATTTCTTTCCATTTGGTGGTGGCTAT